ATTTACGAATATACAAAAGATGTGAATGAGAAATAAAATTTGGGTATTTATATAACAAGGCACTATTTTAGGATCCAGTGTTACACTTCACACACACACACACACACACACACACACACACACACACACACACACACACACACACATATATGCTAGCCAACACACCTGGTCTTATCAAGGGAGATTTCAGTCAAAAGCAGCTGTGACCAAATATTCTGCAGTGGAAGTCAGAAAACACTAATTTAAATTTTTCACTTGTTTTTTGGAACAATTATGCCACCCACAAAAGGGTAACTTTGCAAGTCGTCATTATCTCATGAATTTTGGAACTTGTCCCTTAAATAAACTCATCTCATTTCCATGTAATTACAGCAACTAAGAAGGCCCTTTAAAAAAGAAGAAAAACTTAGCTCAAAATTTAAGGGTCCTAATTAAAGAACCCATGTTACTGACATTTTGATCATCCTTGGAATCTGGCTCCCGAAAATTAGAAATTCATATGAATCTGAAAGAGAAATGTCTTGAGAGGGTTCTCTTAGATTTCAGTTTCCTGCATCTGATGCTTTCTGACAATATTCACCTGTCACATCCGCCATCCCTGTTATGTAGTAATTGATTGCATGTCATTTAGATTCATTTGTAATAACACACAATGGTAATGACTTCAAACTTCAAAAAGGGTAACCTGGACTAACAAATTCCTTCCTGAATTATTCTCTCCCGCTGGCAACCTCGGGGAAATAGAAACACGTCCAGAGTGCCTGAGGGACTCAAGTAGACCTAATTCCCCATAACAGATCACCTAGTACCAACTAATTAGGATGAGTTAAATGTTTCCACTGAAAACACACACACAAAGAGGAATGTTTTTCTCTGCTGCTTTCTCTGCTGTTTTCTGCTCATTTCCTTCCTTGTAGTCTTGCCGCCTTACTGCTTTTCTAACACAACCAAAAGTGTAAACGCTGACTGGAGAATGTTCTAAACATCCCAGCGGAAAAACAAAGTCCTTCCTATGACAATGTATAAACGTGTCTATTATAGGCAGGGGAATAGGCTGCTGGTCTAGAATTTTCCTACGAGATTTTTTTGTCTAACTGTTGTATTAAAAGCTTCCTCCATCAAGTATTTCTTGTTATGTTAGGCACAGCGCTAAGTCTTTTTCATGTTTTTCTAAGGCATTTTAAGGAAGACAGCTGATTCACAATTAGCACCACGCTGCACTTGAACGGCTCATTCGCACTTTCTAAATTTTGCTCGCCCTTTTCTCCAGGTTTAACGAATATGCCATGAATAGTAGCATTGAGAGGGAGCTCTAATGTTTGTCTCAAGTTCTACTCATTTGTTTAAGATGCATCCTTTCTTTTTGCAGCAGGATTCTCAGGGAGCAAGCCCTCGCCCCTGCCTGGCTGTAAGTACCCCAGAATCTCCATCTGGTTGATTTTCGGGCACATCGAATTTCCTCAGTGCCATCAGGCTCCCATTTTCTCTCCTGATGGCAAAAGGCTGTGACATGACACCTCTCTGGCAAACTGTGGCCAATTTGTGAGGTTGGCAGGACCACGGGCAGCCATTCATCACTCCAGCAGTGGAGAAATGTGTGTAGCCAGATGGAAGGGGAAGATGATTCAGATATACTGGAGACAGTACATGGTTACGGCCTTCTGCTGGGATGCACCTGCCCTTCATGCCAGCACTGTCCCCTGACCCAACTGTAACCAGGTGGCATGGGGCAGGTCTGCTGTACTCACAGCCAGCCAGGACCGCTCCCTTCATCCGGTGAGAAGTCTCCCAGCTGCTTGTTGTTATTTGCGGATCATTTTTTTTTTAAATTTATTTTCTTATTTATTATCTCTAGGTCTCATTTGCAAACTGGGGATCATAATACTACCTTTTTTTTTTTTTTTTTTTTTTTTTTTTTTTTTTTTTTTTTTTTTTTTTTTGCCACATGTGGGATCTTAGTTCCCCGACCAGGGACTGAATCCGGGCCCTCGGCAGTGAAAGCGCAGAGTCCTAACCACTGGACCACCAGGGAACTCCCTATTTCCGGATCAATTGTTAACGGTTCTTCATCCTCGGCACATGCCATTTTTAAGTCTGTCAAATATTCCTGCAGGTGGAGAGGGTAACTTCACAAGTCTTTATGATTTTCCCTTGCTTTTACAGTAAATACCAATCAGGTTGCTTGCTGGGATTTTTCCTCTCTTCTTTCTCCCGTGTGAACCTGATTCTTAACTCCAAGTAATGAATGCGAGATCGACAGAATAAGTAACAAACGTATCCACGGTGACTGAACAGCAAACTCTTAAATTACTGTGCAGTAAGTGCAAATGAACAATTATTGAAAACACTGCACTAAAATTTCAGTAGGAGATAAGAGTGAGGCTTAAGTCATTAAAAGGGTCCATTAGCCTCGTGAGTCTGAGACAGCACACTCAAAACACGAGCTATTCTGGAGAACTGGAAATATTATTCCACCAACTTGCACACACAGAGCTGACTCTAACTGAGAAAGGACAGGGTCACAGTGTCCAGCCCCTAAGGGGGAAGGGTCTACAGAGAAGCAGAGGCTGGGCCAGTCTGTCCAGGCAATGAGTCTTCAGTTAAACTTGAAAGGCGTAGCAGGCGAGCAAAACTGACAAATTAGATTATTTACAAGGGAAGTAAATACCCTGCTTGCATATCAAATCCCAGGGTGTTAGAGCATCACCATGCTCTCCATCACTCCCTGCTGGGGACACAAATAAGAGACTTCTGACACCTCTACCCCATTCCCGAAAATCACCAGAAAAGCCCAAGAATTCAGCCCTGCTTTCCTTTTGTCCCTGTTCTCCCTGACCTGATAAACCCTCTGGAGTTCAGATATGAAGAAAAAAGTCACGGGTGACCAAACTGCAAAGTGAAAGCACTGTCTTGAAAAAATTACCTGAAATAGCTACACACACATAAATACACGGATGTGCCTATGTACATACACACATACATACATACTGTTAAGGGTTTGCAACATTAAAATGCTGTTGAATCTTAACACGCCTGGGTCGTATTGTCAATTCTGACCCTAGATCATGGACCACACATTTTATGAGAGACAGGTGGGCTCGCAGAGTTCTGGGGCTGCCTAACGGAACCTGAAAGAAACAGCATTCCTAAATACACACGATTTCCTCCGAGAATATAAAACCATACCTCATGCTGGAATTATGGTAAGACCGAACCATGCTCATGACACAGAGGGCAACTTTAGCCTTGCCTTTAAAAGAGTATAGTTTCATCTGAAGCAGGACATCATATTTCAATGTGTGCTATTAAAAACTTGCGTTACACAGTGAAACTAATTGCCCTGTGAATCACCCTGCTTTACGAAACGGCTGGACTAGCATGCAGTTAATAATACGAGCTAGCCCAGTGAATATTTCTCCAAGAGACACAGGAAAATCCAGTACAGCACGGGTGGCCTCTGGACCAGTACTTTTACACCCACTGCTCTGGTTAACACTACATGCTCACCACCATCACCTTAGGCATTGTTGCAAGAGGTTGAACACAAGCTAAAATTAAAATCTTCCTTTCCATCTCTCAAATACCATCACAGATGCTGAAATGTTATTTTGTCCAAAAGACATATTATCTTTACAAGCTTTTGCATGTGTCAAAAACATTCACAATAAACACTTGCGATTTTATGAATTGCCAATTAACACGCTTACCACCTCTATCACTACCCCCTGGAAAGTGTGTTAACTCCGGATTCTGCTTAAATTTGTCTATCAAATGAGGAGCCTTTCTTTAAAATCGATTTTAGTTATTTTTAAGACTTCTTTCCTAACATGAGGCAAATTAAAGGGAAATCAAAACTGCTGTCAAGACAACTAAAAAGCACTCAGCTTCTGCATACTTTGGCAAATGTTTCAAAGGCTCGAGCGAACAAAACAAAGCAAACAGTACGCACAGCAATAAACAACCGAGAAACTAATACTGCCCCAACACAAGTTTCTCGCAATACCTCTTTAATTGAAAAATGACTCTAGCTTACATATTTCCAAGCAAGTCAACTAATCACCCAGAGCATTTGCATCATGGAACCCTCACCCCTCTTCAGCTGCTCTCACAAACCTTTTAATATCAGAGAGATGCCCTTAGGTGATGATGCGGGATGAAACTTACAGAAGGAAAGCATAACTTCAGGGAGGAGGAAAGGATATTCCGTCTAATCCTTGGCTTCGTATTTAGGGAAGCATTTTGCCTTCTCCCCATCAGTAAGTTGCAGCGTTACAGTGCAAATGTGCAGCTCCCAGCCCACTTACACTGCTCCACTAAGCGCCCAGATCTAAGCCTCAGCATGTTTTCTGGAAAGGCAGGCAGCTCCGCAGAAAACCTAAGGGAGGTTTCCACCACAGCACGCAACTAAACTGCACAAACATTTAACAGCTCCGAGACCTCTAAAGGTTTAAAATAATATGCATTTTGTGCCAGGATGCTCTAGCTGGGTGGAAAACTGGGATGCTGTGGAAGGGTGCTCTCAGCTGTCCAAGCACCGCACACCAAAGAATGTTTTCCCTTTCTGCCTCAGAATTAGGGGAAACCCAAAATGCTTAATGAACCGTAGATATTGACTAAGCTTCCACAGCATCCATAGTACAGAACTTTTACATTCCATTGAGTTTGCCCATGACTTTCCCACGCCGCACCATTTCTCCTTCCTCACCTAGCTAAAAAAAAAAAAACCCAACTTCATGCACACAAATCACGGCAAAGTTTAGCCACCCTCACCCCTGCCTCTTTCCTTTTCCAACTTCAACTCCTCTACGACTAACAAACAGCCCCGATTGTAGCACAAAGCAAGCTCCTAGGGCTGCACCAGCTGGGTCCTCCACTTGCCAGCTGAAGGTAGGTTTACTGGAATAGATTCTCGAGGCTTTGCCGAGATTTTCGAAAGGGCTTGTCTGCCCTGATGAAGAGCTGGGCACCCTCAGCATGACATCATCAGCGTGAACACTCACCAAAATACATTATGCTTCTCATTAATCAGACAGCCGGAACCCCACCGCGGCGTCTTCAGCATCAGCTCGCACCCAGGGCTGCCGCGCAGAGCCAACCCGTTTCATGCTACATTCGGCGGAAACGTCCCCGGCGTGGAGAGCAGGGGCGCCGAGCGTGCCGCCTCCGCCGCGGGATGAGCGCCTCGCGGGCCGCCTTTCCCGGGCTACGGTCCCCGGCGGCTGGAGCGTGCACTCGGGCTGCCTGCTGCACTGCCCATCCTTACTGTAATCCGACTCCTCCTTGCGATGTCCTTGCTGCGCCTGTGACATCAGGACTGAGAGTACTACAAACAGACCCCCCCCCCACTCCACCCCACCCCACCCCACCCCAGGTCCTCCCGTGGCCCTAAGTCATTTGACTTCTCTACTGGACAGAAGATTCTTGAAGGCAATAACTGTGTTTTGTTCATCCCCACCCCACCCCCGGTTCGCCGCGGCTCCGGGAGGTGCTTCGATTGCCTGCCTGGACCAACCATGGTGCTCGGGAAGCGTTGACGAGCCCAGAGACCTGGGAGGGGGCGGAGTGAGGGGCGCGGGAGGCTGTCTTAAAGAGAGGAGGGTCTCCAGAGCCACCGAGGCGCGCACGGGGGGAGAAATTCACCGGGGGGAGGGGCGGGAGGGGACAGGGTTAAGGCGACTTCTGTCACTGACGTGTCATTAGACACACTTTTATCCCGCCCCTCCCGCGAATGGCAGCATCCCCGCCCCAACTGAGTCTCCCCTCCCAAGTTTAAAAGGCAGTAGGAAGGGGAATGGTGCCCTGTGCCTGCATTCTCTTTGCTGTAGGCTTGAGGGTTGGTTGTTTTCTGTGATGGTTATACCTAAAAGACTCCATGGACCATGCTAGGGTAATACAGGTTTCCACTGAGAAGTGATCAGATCACAGAAACCCAGCAGTTGGTGAAGAGCTGTTTTTATTTCTTGAGTATTTTCTGAGCTAGGTTGATAGAGAAATGTAAAGAAAAATAACTGGTGATGAAAGTCACCTCGCACTTGCACGAGATCACATTTGCTGCCTCCCGAAGCAGGTAGTAGAAAGGACACTGAGGCTGAAATGATCCCTGACCCCTAAAGGGGAGAGACATTTTAGCCTGAAAGATAACCAGGATTGTGTCATAATTCAAGTCTGGTCACCAGTATAATATAGACACGCACACACAAGCACATTTGAGATGAACAGTCGAGAAAGGCAAAGCTTAGCCAAGAAGCTTAGCCCTTACATAGAAAAGGATGTTAAAAAGAAATCCCTGAAAGCTGGACTGATTAATATTTCAATGCTCTGCACTGAAAATAAACCCATAGAGCAAGTTCAGTTTCATAAGGACTCATCTCTTTGGGGTCCAACTTACCTACTGGACCATTTAAACTTAAACATTTCTACAAAAATCTATTAAACTAAGAACTGAAGATATTGATAAACCATAATGGAAAAGAATACAAAAAAAGAAAAAAGCAAATAAAAATTAAAAAAAATAAAGAACTGAAGATAAAGAACTGTAGCTTATGGAAGCAAGCAATTGATATATTTTAATAGGAGTTTTGGTAAGCCATGGTAGCCAATATTTCTCCATTGTGATATTAAAATATTCCATGGTCTTTCCTTGCACAATTCTGTGTCTGTTGATGGGTTTAATACACTGCGGGGGGAGCGCTGAAGCTCGTAACAGCTTGCTCTGCAATCTTGCAGTGGATTATAAAGAATTTGGTGAATGCAAATAGATAATCATATATAAATCAGAAACATTACAGCGAGTCTTAGGATAAATCTGGTGATGCTCTTTTAGAAATAGTCTTCATTTAAAGCAATTTGGAGGAAGAAAATGTCAATAGTAAAGAACATCTACTTTTTTACTCCTATTTTTAAATTAAAATTAAAAAGAATGTTACAGGAAAATCCTGAAGAAAACACATAAGTGTTTTTCCTTTTGGACAGATGGAAAGCATCCAAAAGTACAATTATTGGCCTTTCCCTCAGGCAAAAGAACCATCTGTGGTAGAGCTTATTCCTGAAGCTCATCAGGTGTCTTGACGGCCTACATGGGCTAGGGGGCGCTGTAGTTTAATGTTAGAGTTTTTGGTCCTTTCGACTTCCTGTAGTTAGAAGGTGGAAGCTTTTAGAGTTGCATTTAAAACAGGAGATTTAAGATACTAAAGGACTCTCTTAATAATTAATAACACCCTTGAATTTGTGTGGCATTCTGCAGTCACAAGGTCTTTTCACTTATGTCATCTTCCTTACTAACAAACTGAGATCTCGAAAGGCATATATTATAATCACAAGAACCTGAGGCTCAGAGACTTTAGGCAACTTTCTCAATGATGTCAGTGAATCTCAGTACAGAATGGTTGTCTTACTATGTGTATGTCGACTTTATGTTCAAGTCCCCAGCAGAGCTGTTTATTCAAATATATAAATTCTAAATTTCCCGTTTATAATGGCTCAGGTAAAGATCTCCCCCAATCATATTACATCAATACATGTTCCAGAAAAAAACATATATTTATACGGTCATGAAAATAGAGGCAGAGAGTATTTGGTACTAGAACATTCCAACCTCTGCCGGGTCTGAAAAAGCAGCGTGTCGCCTCTGAAAGAACACTGCATCCAAGGAGCAACTGAGTGTTACATTCATACAATGGAATTCTGTTCAAACAAAAAAATGAGGGTGTCTGCTTTATTTAAACACGTGTGCCCCATCCACCTCCAATTCAGGGTTATCTGGAATGTCAAGACCTCCGATAGAAAAGTTGCTTATTTCTGGATGGAAAACAAGTGGTTTTTATTTTACTTGTACACTTATTATCGTTTCTTCTAAAATTACTTTATGTGTATATATTACATTTATAAAGAAAAAATGCGACTATTTTTATCTTGAAACAAAATAACATCTAAACAAAGGCACAGCTGAGGTTGGCTAGACGTAGGGTTGTGGACATGACAGCCGTGCCTGAGAGATGTGCCCATATGTCACCCCCCAGGAGAGGACCCAGCAGCTCCCAGGGAAGGACCTCGTTCACACCCGTGGCTTTTCTCTGTCTCTCAGAAAGTATAAGAAGCTGAGAAATTCTGAGGGGGAATAAGGTAGAAATAGACCTTTCACTAGTAAAACAAAGGATGCCCTAAAACCAGTCACATATTTGGACTGAAAACATCATGGAAAGATGTGAGTTTTCCCTTTGCTCAGATATCCGGAGAGCTGCCTGCTTGGATTCTCCTGTCTCCTGAAAGCCTTGTTCAAAGGTTTGTCAGGGTAGTCATTCCCAGTCTCCCTTCTAACAGTTCAGACTTCCTTCCTCCTTCCCCTGGCTTTTCCTAACCCCTCACCACCCTCTTAAGTCTCCATAACATTTATCACCATCTGACCCACTACTGTGGACATCTTTTCATTTTGATCTCTCTCCATTGGAATATCATCTCCACGAGGGCAGGGATTTTCCTTGTTGTTCACTGCTGTCTCCACCATCCTTACAAGGGTATCTGGCACCTGTTGCTACTCAACAGACATTTGTGAACGAATGAATGAATGAACGTAACCGAGTACAACCTTAACTCTGTGTAAAACATCATACTCTCCTATGTGCCTGCAGTCAATTCTTTGAGACTGATGGTGTTTGATGCAAACTGTTTACACAAATTGAGTGTGTCCATGCTTAGCAGCAGCTGTTCTTACATTCCATGCAATACAGATGCCAGGTGGTCCTGCAGACCACAGTCTGTGAGCTTGCTTGTCCTGTCTCATAGCTGAATGCAGCAGTCATGCAGCACTGACTTAGCAGAGCCCGTTTATGTTGCCTTCCTCTGCGTCTTAGTTTTGTCCACTTTCATCTCTTCCTTATGTATGTGCAGTAAAGTTTTATCCAATGTTCCTTATTCCAGGCTTGCCCAAGGCCAACCCATGCTCCATATTAGATCCATTATTATCTTTTTAAAACAGATGTGATCAACTCACTCCCTTGCTTAAGACTCTTCATTGTCTATTTCACCTACCAGGGTATACAGGGCCTTTCACAACTAGCCCCTGATTACTTTTCCACTTGTGAATGCTTGATGCTTCACAAGCTTCACTCCAATCCCACTGCAGGACTACAGTTCCCCTAAAGACTACACTCCTCTTACCTGTTGTCTTTATCTGGACAGTTCCTATTCAACTTTTGGGGCTTTGTTCAAGTATTATTTCTACTGAGAACCTTTCCTAACCTCAAGAGCCAAGGAGGTACTGCTCCTATTTTGGTTTCAGATAGCATGTTATCTAAGTCCTACTTGAGCACGTAAACATAGTGTGGGGATTTCCCTTTACTTGTCCGTCTCCCAAATGAAAGAGGATGCTCTTTTCTCTTTTTTAAATCTCCAAGACCTAGTATAAATCAGTATTTAATGAACGATTCCATTATTTATCAATTCATTCATTCCATGTTTACTGAATAAATTCCATATCTTTTGAATGTCTACTTTGTGCCATGCATTTTACTAGGTGATGGATAAATAACACCGCAGAAAGTGCAAAAGGCAATGGGGGACGTGCCTGAGGGTTACCAGGAAGAGCAGGAAGGTCAACATGCTAGAGAGGAAGTAGGTACTGAGGAGGATATTAATAGTTGAAGTGAAATAGGTTACGTGCAGCCTAATTCAGTAGGACTTTGGTTGGCCATATCATAAAGATTCAGACTTCTATTCCGACTTGTATAGAATGCCTTTGGAGTAACGTAATTTGACATATTTTAACAGGTTCACTATGGCTGATGCATGGAGAATAGATAAAAGGGAGCAAAGGAAAACACAGGTGACCCCTTAGGAAGCCTTTGTAATAATCTAGAAAAGAAATGGTGGCTTAGACCAGGGTAGGAGCAGTGGAGATAGTAAAAAGTGATTGGAATCTATACATATGACAAAATGGGTCAATAGGATTTCCTGATGAGTTGGGAAAGTGATGGAAGAGAAAAAAAAAGAGTAATAGATCATTTGAAATTTGGAGACTGAGCAATTGGAAGGTGAAATTTCCACTAACTGATAAGAAGACTGTGGAAAAACATGTTTGGGTGGGGGGATAGGAGGTAGTCAATGCAGGGCCTATTTAGTTTGAGTCCTATTATAATATTCAAGTGGAAACGTTCCCTAGCAGTTGGGCTATATAAGTATGGAGTTCAGGGGAGATGCTTGAATTTCATATTTAAAGTCATTGTTTGTATCATTTTTTTTAGATTCCACATATAAGTG